GGATTACAGGTGTGCACCACCATGCCCGGCAAATGTTTTGTACTTTTTTTTTTTTTTTTGAGATGGAGGCTAGCTCTGTCACCCAGGCTGGAGTGCATCAAGGGATCTCGGTTCACTGCCACCTCTACCTCCTGGGTTCAAGCAATTCTCTGCCTCAGTCTCCCAAGTAGCTCAGATTACAGGCGCCCGCCACCAAACCTGGCTAATTTCTGTATTTTTAGTAGAGATAGGGTTTCACCATCTTGGCCAGGCTGAGTCTTGAACTCCTGACCTCGTGATCCACTCGCCTCGGCTTCCCAAAGTGCTGGGATTACAGGCGTGAGCCACTGCGCCTGCTATGTTTTGTACTTTTAATAGAGATGGGGTTTCACCATGTTGGCCAGGCTGATCTTGAACTCCTGACTTCAAGTGATCCACCTGCCTTAGCCTTCCTAAGCACGGAGATTACAGGTGTGAGCCACAGTGCCTGGTCTACAATACATACACACATACATATACATATATATATATATATATATATATACACACACACTTTTTTTTTTTTTTGACAGAGTCTCACTTTCATCAGGCTGGAGGGCAGTGGTGGGATCTCAGCTCACTACAACCTCTGCCTCCGGGGTTCAAGCAAGTATCCTGCCTCAGCCTCCTGAGTAGCTGGGATTATGGGCAAGTGCCACCCGCCCAGCTAATTTTTGTATATTTAGTAAAGACAGGGTTTCACCATGATGGCCAGGATGGTCTTGATCTCTTAACCTTGTGATCCACCTGCCTTGGCCTCAAAAAGTGCTGGGATTATAGGTGTGAGCCACGAACCACTGCGCCCGCTCAATATATACATATATATTTTTGAAACACGGTCTGGTTCTGTTGCCCAGGATGGAGTGCAGTGTCATGATCACGGTTCACTGCAGCCTCAACCTTTCAAGGCTCAGGTGATCCTCCTGAAGTGCTGGGATCACAGGTGTATACCACTGCCTGCCCTTGATTATTTCTGTTATTTTATAGCAAGCATCGCCCATCCCCGCCTCCCTAGACCACCTGATGGCTGAATTTAGAACTCTGCTCCCTACATGCGTCCTCAGTACCCGAGCGCCTGGTTCAGAGTCCAGCAGATGACGGTGGTCTGGGCCTTACCTCCTTGCATGTCCCCACCAGCCACTCCTCCCTTCCTGGGGACCCCTATCTCCCATCCGAGCAGCAAGCAGGCCTCAGGCCACTCACCTCGGGGCTCCTCTTCACGTCGGGGGCTCTTGGCTGACCGCTGGCCCGCAGGGACACCCAGGTCCAGCAGCAGGGGTGCAGGAGTGGGTGGGGTATTGGGTGTCTTGGGCGAGAGGCGGATGAGTGAGGAAGGGGAAGGCCCTGGTGGGCAGGGCACGGGCGCTGGCGTGGGGGGTGTTGTTGGGGGCTCCCCTCGCTCACGGCCAGGGCCTCCTGGTGGCTGTAGGTCTCGGCCAAGGCCCAGCGAGGCAAGCAGGGCAGTGCCACGCAGCAGAGCGCGCTGGATCAGCTTGGGCGTCCCAGAACTGCTACCACGCTCTGCGGAGCCAGGCCTCTTAGGCTCCTCAGGCTCTGGGCTTGGCCTCGGGGGGTTACCTGTGGGCGGAGGCAGCACAGGTGAGGATGTGGCCAGTGCAGCTTCCGGGTGAGGGCCCAGGACCTCTCCGTGGTCTTGGAACAAGGGCGACCAGCATCTTCCCTGGTCCCACAGGTCCCACGGCCTCCCTGTCACACACACCCACATTCTGGCCTTCCACAGGATGGGAACTGGCAGGGGAGGGCAGTGTGAGCAAAGGAAGTGGCAGTAAAGCCCAGTGGCAGCCAGCGGCCCCAGACCCCAAAGATGGATGGGCAGTCCCAGTAGAGGCAGGCTGGAGCCGGGTCCAGGTGGACTTCAGTGTCCTGACAGAGGCAACCTCCAGGCCCAGGGGACTGGGACCAGTGCCCTGTGCTCTGTGCCTGCCCGCTTCTTGGCTTGGCAGCCCTGCCCCTTCTGCCCACCCACCCTTACTCCAGCTGTAGCTTGTAGCGTGCACATGGTCAACTCCAAGGTACACGACAGCCCTCAGGGGCACAAATCCCTGTCCCTATTCTGGAAAGGAGGAAAATGAGGTTCAGTAACTTGCCCAAGGTCACCACTAATTTACAAAGTATGTATTTGTGCCAGGCCTGAGCTGAATGACATAGGGGCATTATGTTGTCTGATCCTCACACCCCAGTGGTTCCAGGCTCAGAGAGGTTGAAGGCTTGTATGAGGCTGAACAGCCAGTGAGAGGTAGAGCTGGCTTCACCCCAGGCAAGGGCAGTAGAGCCTTTGCTCTTCACCATTTCCCAACCAGACTCTGCCCTAGATTTCAAGACATGAGTGTCCCACCTTCCAGTCTAAGGTTGGCCTGACTCCACTCTAGATCACTTGGGCAGGGTTGGGAAGCCCATTAAGAAGGTAGGGGGCCTCTAGGATGGCCTCCCACAAGCCCTGATTTTGTCAGATCCCACCTTGGCTCTAGAATCTGCTTGGCTCTTCACTGCCACTAGAAGAAAGCCTGACCTCTTGACTGGTCTTCCGAAGCCCTCCCTAGCCCTGTCCCTCTGCCTTTCCCCCACTGCCTGGAGCACAACAGTGGGCTGGATGTTGGGAGGAAAAATACAAGGCTGGGAGAAGTGAGCTCTACCGTGAACCAGGACTCGGCTAACAGGCCCTTTTGTCGGTCCCAAGGCTTACTTAGGCTCTCTGCTTTTTTTTTTGAGACGGAGTCTCTCTCTGTCGCCCAGGCTAGATAGAGTGCAGTGGTGTGACCTCAGCTCACCACAACCTCTGCCTTTCAGGTTCAAGCAATTCTCCTGCCTCAGCTTCCTGAGCAGCTGGGGCTACAGGCTCACGCCACCATGCCTGGCTAATTTTTTGTATTGTTAGTAGAGAACGGTATTTCACCATTTTAGCCAGGATGGTCTCGATCTCCCAACCTTGTGATCCGCCCGCCTTGCCCTCCCAACGTGCTGGGATTACAGGGGTGAGCTACCGACCCGGCCGACTCTCTGCCTCTTATCTCACCCCACTCCCACCCCTGGCCACTGCCAATGAAGGGCCAAGGGAATCTTTCTAAAATGCAAACTTGCTGAAGACAGGTCCCTGCTTAAAAGCTACCTATCACTTCCAGCTTCATTCACTCATTCATTCAATAAACATCTACTGACCCATGTACCCTGGCCCCTGCCTGAAGCCCCAGTCCTGAGACTCCTCAACTCTTCTCAGAGTTCAGCCAGGTTTCCTTTTCCTTGGGTCTGGGGAGCCACATGCCTGGCACACACTATATGCTCTGGCTGGCTGACCTTTCCCACCTCAGCTTTCAGTAACTTTTTGTTGTTGTTGTTGAGACGGAGTCTCACTCTGCCGCCCAGTCTGGAGTGCAGTGGCGCAATCTTGGCTCACTGCAACCTCCACCTCCCGGGTTCAAGTGATTCTCCTGCCTCAGCCTCCCAAGTAGATGGGATTACAGGCACCTGCCACCACACCTGGCTAATTTTGTATTTTTAGTGGAGATGGGGTTTCACCATGTTGGCCTGGCTGGTCGCAAACTCCTGACCTCAGGTGATCTGACCGCCTCAGCCTCCCAAAGTGCTGGGATTACAGATATGAGCCACCATGCCCGGCCTCAGTGGCCTCTTATGCATTATCCAAGACCCACTGGGACGTCACTTCTTCTGTGAAGCCTTCCTAGAATCTCCCTGAACCTGTACAGTTATTGCTCACGTTATGCCTCATAGGAGCTACTGGACTTGTTTATGAGTCTGCCTTCTTCATTGAATGAGGTTAGGGCAGTGTTTCTCTTTAACACATCTGTTGCCTGGCTCTTAAAATGCAAATCCTTGTTTGATGAAGAATCCATTTTTATAATTAATGCACCAACCACGAAGTTATCATTATCACCCTCATTTCACAGTTGAAGAACTGATCATTTACAGTGAGTTTAAACGGAAGAGGGGGAAAAGCATGTTTAAAAAAAGTGAGAGATGCTGGAAGCGGTGGCTCATACCAGTAATCCAAGCACTTTGGGAAGCCAAGACGGGCAGATCACTTGAAGTCAGGAGTTCAAGACTAGCCTGGCCAACATGGTGAAACCCCATCTCTACCAAAAATACAAAAATTAGGCTGGGCACGGTGGTTCGTGCTTATAATCCCAGCACTCTGGGAAGCTGAGGCAGGTGGGTCACTTGAGGTCAGTAGTTCAGGACTGGCCCGGCCAACATGGTAAAACCTGGTCTCTACTAAAAATATAAAAATTAGCCAGGCATTGTGGTGCATGCCTGTAATCCCAGCTACGTGGGAGGCTGGGGCAGAGGAATCACCTGAACCCGGGAGGTAGAGGTTGCAGCGAGCCGAACTGCATCCCTGCACTCCAGCCTGGGCGACAGAACAAGACTCCATCTAAAAAAAAATAAATTTAAAAAAGCAAGAGAAGGCCAGGTGTGGTGGCTCACACCTGTAATCCCAGCACTTTGGGAGGCTGAGGCGGGTAGAATGCTTAAGCCCAGGAGCTCAAGACTAGCCTGGGCAACATGGCAAACCCCCATATCTACAAAAAATACAAAAATTAGCCAAGCATGGTGGTGTGTACCTGTAGTCCCAGCTACTCAGGAAGCTGAGGTTGGAGGACTACTTGAGACTGGGAGGTGGAGTTTGCAGTGAGCCATGATCATGCCATTGTACTCCATCCTGGGTATGAGACCCTGTCTTTAAAAAAATAAAATGAGCTGGCGTGGTGGCTCATGCCTATAATTCCAGCACTTTGGGAGGCCGACGCAGACAGATCGTGAGGTCAAGAGGTAGAGACCATCCTAACATGGTGAAACCCCGTCTCTACTAAAAATACAAACGTTAGTCCTAGCTACTCAGGAGGCTGAGGCAGAGAATCGCTTGAACCTGGGAGGTGGAGGCTGCAGTAAGCCAAGATCGTGCCACTGCACTCCACCCTGGGAGACAGAACAAGACTCTGTCTCAATAATAAAGAAAAATAAATAAATAAAAAATAAAAGGGAGAAATGAAACAAAGGGAAGAGAAAAGATAGGGTCTAGCAGACAAAATGAGAGTGAACAGAGGTTCCTGCCGTCAATGGCCTGAGAAACTGAGGTTCTGAAGGGCAAGTGACTTCTTCAAGGTAATCCAGCTAGAATTTGAATTTGCCTCTAAGCTTCCTGGCAGCAAGAGTTAGCAACCTGGTTGTTTAGGAGAAAGCAGCATGACTCTTATTGACCCAAAGACAGATGTGAAACTGCTTCTGTGGGGCAGTTTCTGATGAGGAGAGACCATGGAGAGGACATGGCCATGTAGTTATTGGCTCCAAGGCAACAAGCTTCACAGGGCAGCTGCTGTCAGTGTAGCTGAGTGCACCCTGCCCATGTGCCCCTCCTTGCAACCAGCTCTTCAGGGGCCAGAAAAGCCCACTGGTACAGGGTGTTTGGGGGCAGGTATTGAGGCTCTCCAGTGGTGTGGCTTATGCCTGGGACCATCTCAGAGGGTCTGGGACCTCTGTGAGGCCCCATTCTTTGATTCTTAGCTGGGTTTCTGTGGGTGGCTGTGAGGTCAATGTCATGGTGTACTCTCATGGACCCAGATGGTGCGTTGAGTGTGGGGCTGGGCTAGGGGAACCATGTGCTCAGCCTGCCACTGAGCTGGGGCAGCTCACGATCCTTTCAGGTAAAGGGGCAAGCGGCAATCCATTTCTTCATCAGCCAGGAAGGCCACTGGTGCTGAGGCTGGCACACCTATCAAAAACAGTAACTACCATGGTTTCCAGTGCTTTCACGAAACCTCAGACGGGTGGCCTTCTGGCCGCACATCTGCAATTTCATATTGTGGAAGCATTCGTTGTATCCCTGGGGGCTGCGGCTCTCTCTGTTTGCTGTGGCTGAATGGAGAAAGAAGGCATACACAGATTTCATGGAAGTTATGAGGCCATGAAATATTTCAAGGAAGTTATGATGCCATGAAACATTTCAAGGAGATGAGGAAGGCTGTTATCTCTCAGAATGCAAAATGATTTTCGAATATAAAGAATTTCTTTGGGTTAAATTACTTAGAAGTTTGTCACTGATGTGAACTATTCATGAATATATGGGCTAAGAAACAGTTTTTCTTGATAAATAATTAACAAATACTTTGGCTGGGCATGGTGGCTCACGCTTGTAATCCCAGCACTTTGGGAGGCTGAGGCGGGCGGATTACCTGAGGTCAGGAGTTCGAGACCAGCCAGCCTGGCCAACATGGTGAAACCCATCTCTACTAAAAATACAAAATTTAGCTGGGCGTGGTGGTGTGGTGGTGTGCACTTGTAGTCCCAGCTACTCGGGAGGCTGAGGCACGACAACTGCTTGATCCCAGGTGATGGAGGTTGTGGTCAGCTGAGATCACACCACTGCACTCCAGCCTGGGTGATAGTGACACTCTGTCTCAAAAAAAAAAAACAAAAAAAAAAAACCACAAAAAAACAAAAACAAAAACAAACAAAAATCTTTGGAAAAAAAGCAAACCATGAGGCAAGCTCGAAAACAATGGGGTCCAGGTCCCTTGTGCCCCTGCTTCTGGGAGCTCAGGGCCAGGGGCTTCTGTGGAACAGTCAGGGGCTGCTTCAACCTACACACCTGGGTTGACAGGACCTGGAGCTCTCCTTTGGTCCATCTGGCCTGGTACATTTTAGAGCAGTAAATTCAAGAAGCCTCCTTGGCCTTCCAGTTCTCAGTTCAGTCCCTACAGGACAGCTGCCTAGGGCAGTGCAACTGCTGGAGCAGCAAATGGCAGGGTGGGTGGGGGCCCAGGGCCCTGTTCAAATCTCTGCCCTGCTGGCTGCCTTATATCAAACCACTTAGTCACTCTGTGCCTCAGTTTCCTCTGTTGTAAAATGAGACCAATAATACTACTCCCCTCACAGAACTGCTTGGCATATAGGAGAGACCCAACAAAGGTTAGCTGTTCTATCGAATGCAGCTCAGGGAGTGGTGGAGGTGATGGGCTGGGTGGGAAGGGAGGAGTGAGTTTAAACAGTTCGCTGAACAGGACTCTTCTGCGAGCAGCTAAGCGGGTCCTACATTCTGGCTATAAGAAGCAGGTGTGGGGGCTCTGAGAATGGTCCCTAGGTTGGCACAGGGACCCACAGGCAAGGGAGGCTGTAACTTTCTGGCCTCAGTCAGACATGGACAGTGTTGAGCTAAGCTGTCCTCCCAGTGATGCTGGAGCCCTGCTCTCTGCCTAACCCTCTGGCTCCCTAAGTGGTCTGTACATGAAAAGCCCCTTCTTTAAGTAAAAGCTTCTGAGCTCACTATGAGCATGGGAGCCGAAGTCTGGGTTCAAATCTTCAGCTAGGGGTTTGAAGTAGGTTACTTCACCTCTCAGAGACTCCGTTTTCTTATCTGTAAAATGGGGTAACAGTAGCCCCTCCCCATCAATGCTCAGAGGGAATGTCTGGCACACAGTAGAGCGGTTATCATCACGGGGAAGAGAAAGGCCCTGAGCTATGCTGGATGTGGTGAGAATGGGCCCTGCATCCTGACTAATTGGCCTTCTCATTCTCTTCTTCACCTACAGGCTCCCAGAAGGGACTCTGAGAAGCACAGTGTGGTGGACACTTGCCTGGCTCTACCCGGCACAGCCTGATCAGGCTGATTCCCTTCCCTCTCTGGGCCTTGGGTACCCAATGCCAGGTGGGCTTCCTGTCTTTCTTTTCTCCCTGGAGCCTGCTAAAGGCACAGGGGCTGCCACAGGGCCAGGGAAGAGCCTTCTTGCAGGTTAGGTCTGAGTAACAGGATGAGACTCTGGGCCCGAGCCGAGGCCTGGGCTGTATGCAGCTTGACTGTGGGCCTGTAGGTCAGACCTGGGTTCTAGGATGGGCTCTGTCCTGTCTCAGCCTCAGTTTCCTAATCTCTAGAATGAGAGCTACCAGGGCAGGACTCCTGCTCTGCCTGCTAGCCTCTCATGGCCTCCCCAAGGTGCCCACGGAAGGAGCTCAGCCAGATCCTGCCAGAGGAGGAAGGCCACTCACCGTTGAGTGCTGGGGGTGTGGAAGGAGATCCTAAGGGGGATGAGTCATCTGAATCCAGGTACCATGTGGCTTCATCCATGCGGGACCTTCTCCTGGTGATGGGAGGGCAAGGAGGGGTGCTTTAGGAATTTCAGGACTTGGGGGAAGCAGATGATGCTGGGGCTGGGGGGCACTCAGGTACTCACCTCCCATTCTGGGCTTCCCCAGGCTTGGGGGAACTGGGACCCCAAGCCCAGCATGCTCGCCGCTCTCCATTGCTTGAGTCCTCCAGACGTCGGGGAGACTGGCGGCCCCATGCCTGGCCTGGCTCTGCAGGCTCCACTACAGGGGAAACGGATGGAATTGGAGATGATCCTTATCCTCCCTCCACCATGACAGTCAGCTTCAGAGTATGGGGAGCAGGCTGGGCCCTGTACCATTCCCAGGATGAGCTTTGGGTGAGATAGATAGGTTTGGGTCTTGGGGTGGACAGTGGGCTGTGGCAGCTTATCTAGCCCTTCAGCTGACATTTGCTACTCAGTAGTGAAGACACTACCTGGTTTTGAATTCTGGTTCTTCCACTTACTAGCTGTGTAGCAAGTTACTTTTTACTCCATCCATAAAACCTAGCTAACAATAAGAATAACTACCTCATCCATAAAACTTAGGTAATAAAAATACCTAGTAGAATTACTGCAAGAAATCAACATTAGCAAAGCATTTAGGAAAATGAATAGTACATAGTGTCATACAATTGTTTGACTAAAAAAAAAAATAAAATAAAATCAATGCAGCTTGTGGAGCTCAGAGCTAACAGTCTAGACCTAGGGCAGGGAGCCTGAGGCGGGGGGAAGAGGAGGTAGTGAGTGGGGTCCACCTCCCAGGGCAAGCTTTGATAGAGGATAAGGGGCTCAGGGGCGAAGAAAGATGAGGTTTCTTACACTGGATGGCCCGGAACCGGGGGAAGGTGGGCGAATCCCCAGCCCCGACCTCGAAGACGTTTCTCCTCCGGTCAAGGCCGGGTGAGGCCTGCACGGTGATGCGGTGCTTGAAGTCTGGGGTTTGGGTGGGGGGGGGGGAGCAGGGTGCAGGTTTGTGATCTGCAGGGGTCCAAGGCCGGCTCCCGGGCCACACAGGGAGCAGCAGGGTGGCTGTGACAGTGCCCAGCCTCACTGCCTTCTTGGGCCCCGCGTTCTGGATCAGGAAAGCTGGGCTCCACCTCCGGAAGCACCTCCCAGTCGGAAGGCCCGACCGCCGGCCTGCCCCGCCCCCTAGACCTTCCCAGAACTTTCGTGAACTCCACCCCTTCCCGGCCGCAGCCACTCCCAGACCGACATGCAAATACTTCCGCCAGAACCCGCACACAGACAGAAAAAACACTCCTGGTTCCACCCCTTCCAGCCTTCATCTCACGGGCCCACCCACAACACCCTAAACCAATCCCAGCGCGGTCAGCACACAGGCCTGGGACGCCCAGAGGCCCGCCCCTCACCGAGTGGCATGCTGATGCGCTCGCCGCCGTCGCGCGCCCGGAGCTTGCTGCGCTTGAAGGTGCCACGGCGGCGGCGCACGTGCGGCCGCTCGCGGTCCACCTGCTGCAGCAGCAGCGTCAGCTCGCGCTCGAACACCTCTAACTCCCACTGGGCCAGCAGGTACTCGCGCCGCCGCAGCTGCTCCGCTTGTGACCGCTGCTCGCGCGCGGCTCGCGTCAGCTCCTCCTCGCGGCTCAGTAGTTCCTGCGCCCGAGACAGCGAAGGCGGGGAGGTCAGCCAGGCACCGATCCCGGCAGCGCCCGCCCCCACTCTGCCCCAGGGAAACCGGGGAGATGCTCCTTCCAAAGCTGGGTCCCGACTCCTCGCACCTTTTCCTTTGCTCGCAGCTCGTCGAAGAGACCCTGGATCTCGCGTTTCCAACCTTCTTGCATGGAATGGAAGGAGTCCCGCGGCATTTCCCGTAGGACCTGTGCCTCCAGCGCCTCCAGCTGCTGCAGGATGGAGGCGAAGTCGGGCCTGCGGTGAGGGTCTTGCGCCCAGCAGTCTAGGGGCACGGCGTGCAGCGGGGACAGAATAAGAAGGGGTCTGTGGGTGGATGCGTCCTGGGCTAGGGAGCTCTGCCCCTCACTTGCCCTCCCTGTCCTCTTACCGGCCATAAGCTGTGCGAAGGGCTCGGGGCAGGTGGATGGGATGGGCAGTGTAAGCTTGTTAACAGCTACGCCATAGGCCACAGCGAGGCAGTCAATGCCACGGTAGGGCACCTCTCCGGTCAGCAGTTCCCACAGCAGCACCCCAAAGCTGTGGGAGAGACAACAGGTCTGTGTTCTCTCATCTCTCCCAGCCCCCTACCCCCTTACTGCCAGTTCACCCAAAAGCAACTAGGAGCTAAGTGGTTTGGGTCCCTGCCCTGTCCCAGCCCTAGACTTAGACAGCCACCTCTGCCCTCCGAAGCCCCGTAGCAGATCCTGTCCAGCCCCACCAGGGGCCGCACCTCCAGACATCGCTGCCCTTTGAGAAGGTGGAGGCCTTGATAACCTCAGGAGCCATCCAGGCATAGGTGCCCGCAGCACTCATTTGTGTGGTTTTGTGCCACTCTCGGGCCAGGCCAAAGTCGGTGATCTTCAGGGTCTTGTGCTCCATGTCGTCACCCTCAATGGGCTGCAGCAGCAAAACTAGGGAAGAGGAGGGGCCAGACTGTGGATGCTCCAGGATCAGGTGGTAGGGATAGGGGAAGAGCTGGGAGCAAACTCATCTGACAGACATCCTGGCTGGGTCCTGGGGGCACAGAGGTGACTTGGTCTAGATCTTGAGGGCCTGCTTGAGGCCAGACATTTCTTCTGCTTTTTTTTTTTTTTTTTTTTTTTTTTCCTGAGATGGAGTTTTGTTCTTGTTGCCCAGGCTGGAGTGCAATGGCGTGATCTTGGCTCATGGCAACCACCACCTCTGGGGTTCAAGCGATTCTCCTGCTTCAGCCTCCCAAGTAGCTGGGATTACAGGCATGGGCTACCACACCTGGCTAATCTCGTATTTTTAGTAGAGATGGGGTTTCTCCAGGTTGGTCAGGATGGTCTCCAACTCTGACCTCAGGTGATCCGCCTGCCTTGGCCTCCCAAAGTGCTGGGATTACCTGTGTGAGCCACTGTGCCTGGCTGAGGCCACACATTTCACTCTCAACCCTAGCATTCAAAACCATTTATGAGCTAGATAATATTTTTCACGTTTCACAGATGAGGAAACCAAGCAGGGGAATGACTTGGCTGAGGTCATATAACCAATCAGCAGAGATTCCAACCTGGTCTGCATGGCTATGAAGCCAGAGTTCTAGCTTTTCCCCAATACTAGACTGAAGCAAAACTGGCAAGGTGGCAGCTGTCTGCATTTGTGGCTTTGATTTCAGAGAGACCTGTGAGAGTCCTCTCATTTGTTGAGGCAGGAGTGTGAATCAGAACCCCCTTGGAGTGGGGAGCAAGAGGGAAGCTCTTGGTGAGAAAGGAAGCCCAGAAGGTACCACAGGCCCCTGGTGCCCACATCACACTGTGGCGAGTGTAGCCACTCCCAATGGAAAGACTCCAAAAGATACCTACTGATGCAGCTAGAAGGGAAGAGAAAGGGTGGGGTCCAAGAAACTGATGGTTCTTGGCCACAAAGGAGGAGCTTGGGGTCAATGTAGGCATGGATGGTCAGACTTGGTAGGGGCTTATGGCTTTAAGCCAAATGGGGCCCCCATACTTGATATAAAGAGGAGAAGCAGCAACTTGCAAATCTCTCACCAGGACAGAAATGGCTGAAGTGAGAGAAATTTTCAAGGAATAGAAAGAAGACAAAGTCCTAGTGTAATGAAGGGTCTGAAGGGCCCCTTTACTTTTCTGGTTACAGCCAACTGCACTGTGGAAGAGAAGTGATATCAAGTCAATCATGTTTCTGGACCCGTGTCAGGGCACACCTCTCAGCTCTCCTGCCCAGTGTGACACAGCTGTCATGGGGGCAGCATAGGGTACAGGGGGTGGGGCAGATGGGAAGGGCACCTAATACAGCCTGATGAGTCAGGGAAGACTTCCCAGAGGAGGTGGCAGAACCAGGGTGCTCATTTTTCGGGACTTAAACCCACAACCCCTGATCCTGCTGTTGGCCAGGCCACCTGGGCCTTGAGGAGGCATCTGGTACTGCTGCCAGCCCTCCCTGCCGCCCCACTGTCCTCAGCCCCCACAGCCCCTGGCTACTTGGCTCTGTTTCTGTAATGGCCTCCCCACCTTCAGCCATTCACGCTGGTGCTTCTCAGAGCATAGCCTCTTCTCAACCTCTGCCCACTGCCCCTCGCTGACTCAGCCTCTTTCAGGTGCCAGCTTCCCCTCCCCACTGGCATCTTCCACATTTGCAACTCCAGGCCAGACAGAAATTGGTTCAGCTGCCCCTCAGCAGCTCTACCTGACGTCAAGGTGCCCTCCATGACGACATTTACTATTTCAGCATGCTCAGTAGATTTTCCTGCAATTTCTCCTAATCCAGAAAATGGTCTCAAAATCCACCTGCTCCTCTGAGCCAGACCCTGGAGTGGAGTCCTGAACAGTTCATCAAGCTGAAGATGACAACAAAACCCTTCAGATGGCTGTCATGAGCATGAAACAAGACCACACTTTTAAAAGTTTTGCGCTGGGCGAGGTGGCTCATGCCTGTAATCCCAGCATTTTGGGAGGCTGAGGCGGGTGGATCACAAGGTCAGGAGATCAAGACCATCCTGGCTAACATGGCGAAACCCCGTCTCTACTAAAAATACAAAAATTAGCCAGGCGTGGTGGCGGGTGCCTGTAGTCCCAGCTACCGGGGAGGCTGAGGTAGGAGAACTGCTTGAACCTGAGAGGTGGAAGTTGCAGTGAGCCGAGATTGTGCCACTGCACTCCAGCCTGGCAACAGAGCAGGAAACTGTCTCAAAAAAAAAAAAAAAAAGCTTTTGCATGGGGGCTGCCACCTGGCAGAAGTGTCCTAAAGGTCAGTTGTCCTAAAGCACTTACTCGTATCTCCACCCGCCTCTCCAACCTCTGTCACTCCTCACTGCCAGCTTCACAACAGCCTCCAGTCTGGCTGCTGGAAGCTGGGGACCTGACCATTTAGCAAGCCCCCACGACAAGCTCATTCCAAAGGGGAAATGCAGCAGGCTGGAGTAGTGGATGGAGTGGAAATGGACACCTCCCCTGGTGCCAGGGCCCACCTCCCCCTTTGAAGACCAATCCTTGCTGCTTCCTGGCCTGGTCTCTGGCCACTTGTGGCACCCCAGACTGGCAAAGCGCTGGACACTCTACCTTTTTCAGGTGGGGAATCTGAGGCCCAGGGAGGGGCAGCAACTCACCCAAAGTTTCAGGACTTCTTTGTACTTGTGGCCTTTCTATTACCTCCCTGCTCCCGGCTCTGCCACCTGCTAAACCTCATCCTCTGCTTTCTTTCCAAGCTGCCTCCCTGTGCTTTCAATTTGTCCCAACTCAAGCTGCTGTTCCGGTGTCTGATGTAGACCTCAGGCATGGGAGGTCAGGGGTCACCCAGAGGAGAATGGGCTAGAGATCCTGAAGCTAGGGAAGCCTCTCAGTACCCCTTTAGGGCTCCCTGGCCTCTGACAGGGACCTGGCCACCAGCCCCCTCCCTGGGCTGGCCTCTGTGGGGCTCGGGAGTGGCCTGGGCAGCTCACACCTCTTCCGCTTCCCTCCCCTGGTCCCTACTTCTCCTTTCTGGGAGGCCTGGCCCAGGTCTCCCACTTGGGAGGGGGAGTCCTTTTGGCCAGAACTGGGGGAGGTCAGGCCCAGGCTGGGCTGGCTGGTCAGTCCTGTGACTCGTGGGCCTGGAGAATTCCCCCTCCCCTCCCCACCAGGCTTCCTCACAAGGCCCCCATTGTCCAGGAAAATCATGCCATTGTTTCCTGCCTGTGCCCCCCCAGCCCAGGGACTCCCCCCACCCCAATCCCGCCAACAGCAACTTGGGCCTAGGACTGGGGTCTTGGAGGTTAAATGCCAGGCTCAGGGAGGCTGAGGGCACCTTGCCTGCCCTTCACCACCACCTCTCAGACTCAGAGAGGGAAGCAGGGAGCTAGAGGGGAGTGGGGGAGCAGTTCCAGGCTCCTTCCTCCCACGAGCCCTCCACCCCCAGCCCTTTCCTCCCCTGCAGGCAGCTGGGCTAGGGAGGGAGCAGGCGCTGGAGCAGGGGCAGGAAGCCGGCTCAGGGGCAGCAGGAAACGCAGGAAGCAGTGGGGAGGGTGGGGAACAGGGGCCTGGGCTATTGTTCCATTTTTTTCTGGAAAGAAAACGGCGGAAAAACAGAAGATGGGAGTCCCCTCCCCCTGTGCCTTCAGGGAATCCCCCTCAGGCTGGGGCAGGGAGTGGGGGTCCCTAGATAGCTACTGCCCAGGGTTGCGGCTGAGAGGTGGGAACTGCACTCTACTGGGCATGAGAAGTGTGGGTGGGGTGGCTGGCAGGCCTCCCCCAGCTCCTCCAGCCCTGGCAAGAACTTGGATATCTGGGGCTCAGCACTCTGTTCTTCACAAGCCCCTTGTCCGTGGTCAGTCCAGGCCAGGAGGCTCACAATAGCCATGGTGACCCCCCTCTAAGAACCTCTCATGCTTTTCCAGTGACCCCACTGAGCCTGGCCCCTCCTGCATTACCTACTGCTGCTCTCCAGCCTGCACCCTGGGCTCTAGGAGGCCGCTGCCCCTGGTCCCTGCTGTGCGCTGGATCCTGCTTCCATGCCTTCACTCTCTAAATGCTGCATGCACCAGGAAGCCCTCTGAAGCTGTCACCCGCTTCTCTTGGGCCATGATGGCAGTGTGTGGGGGGCTTGAAATGATGGGAGATGGAATCTCCCTTAGCCCAGCACTCCCACAGCAAGCACGGATTCCAGGCTAGGCCCTCTTGCCAGTCCAACCCTCAAATGTTCTTCTCCACGGCTGAGGACCCACTGCGGGTAGGGCTTGAGGCTGCTGAGCTGTTTCACTCTCTCTTTTTACACAGTCTGAAATTGAGGCTCTGAGTTGAAATAACCCCAGCCAGAAGTCATGCAGCCAGGGAGGGCTAGGCCAGAATTCCAGTCCTGGCCTTGGCCTTGACTGCCAAGGAGGGCTTCTCCGTCTGAGATATCGGTTCTGGAGGAGCTGCCCACCATGACGGGAGGGGATGACAGAGCACCAACTCCGCAAATACAAATTTAGGGGAGGAGAAGATGAGGAGCGCCAGTTTCCAGAGGACTTCCTTGAGGTGGGAGCCACAGTTGGGCAGGATGCTTAGGGCCCACCTGAGAGATCCCAATAACTTGTTCAAACGGCAGCCACAGGCCAGGGTCAAGGATTTCTGAAGCTTGGGCAGGAGGACTCAGCTGGGTGCCTAGGACTCTTGTTTTGGAGCTAGCTTGAGCCCAGGAGCACCTCTGGTCAGCTGAGACCCCCTAGGGTGGGAGCTCCTGCCTGCAGTAGACCCTAAGCTAGGCTCAGCAGAAGGTTGGGAGCAGGTGTGTGCCAGGGCCATGCCACCCCCCAGCCACGCCCCCAGAAACTCACTGTTGTTGGACTTGAGGTCTCGGTGGATGACGGGCACCAGGGCCTCACAGTGCAGGTAGTGCATCCCACGGGCAATCTGCACAGCCCAGTTGACCAGCACATGTGGAGGCACGCGCCGCCCGGCTAGAGCTCGGCTGAGGGGCCCACCGGCGGCATACTCCATCACCAGGCACAGGTTGGGCTCCTCCAGGCACACAGCCTTGAGGGCAATGATGTTGGGGTGTGCCAGCATGGCAAAGAGCCGGGCCTCCTGGCGAACGCTCTCAGCTGTCACACTGATGTCCTCATCGGGGTCCTGGCGAGCTGCCTTCACAGCCACCAGCTCTCCTCGCCAGCTGCCACGGTAGACCTTGCCGAAGCCTCCAATGCCGATCACCTCTTCCAGCCGCAGCTCCTGGAAGCTGGCCACCTCACAAGGGGGCGGGCCACCGCCCCGAGACACATAGTTGGATGGGAAGATGCCCACCTGGCCCCCCACCTGGCCCGCCCACCAACCCTCATCTCCTGAGATGGCTGCGTCCCGAGACAGCACCTCCACACGGTCACCCTTCCTCAGGGCCAGCTCATCCTGCCCACTGGGCTCGTAGTCGAACAGGGCTGTCCACACCGGGTTGGCATAAGCTGCTGTCTTTGGAGACCCCTCAGGCCGGCCTCCTCCGCCACCCCCGCCACCCCCGCTGCCGCTGCCGTTCCATGACCCTAGAGGGCTCTTGAGGAAGAGGTTCTTCAAGGGCTCCATGGCCCGGAGCCGGCGTCGGGATGCGTGGAGGACCTTCTCTGGCTGCCTGTGGTCCCCACCCCTGCTGGCTGCCGAGGCCCTAGTCCCGAAACCTGGGCATCCGGGCCCTGGCCCTCAGCCCCAGACCCACGCCTCTCTGGGGAGCCAGGAGTGTCTCCTCCCGGCCCCCCGCATCTCGGGCTTCTGGAGGAGGGCACCCAGGGCAGTGTGGTCAGGCTGGGGGTGTGGGGCCCCGAGGCCTCTGGCGCCTCACCATGGCTGGCTTGGAAGGGCCCGGGCTTCCCTCGGTTCTGGAGCAGTCCTGGGAGCCTGGCTCCGACCCTCACCAAGCGTAAGGTGGGGCCTCCAGGGGCAGCGTCTCAATTCCGGTTGGGTCTTTTCGCGCAGGGGCTGGAGGGAGCGTCCCCAGTTGGGCCGAGACTACCTCTTCCTGGCCCTGGCTCCTTTGGCCCCGACGGCTCCAACCCCGTTCCCTTCTTCCTCCTCCCTTTGTACTTTGGCCCCGGGGGGCGGGAGGCAGAGGTGGAGGGTGGAGTTTCACTTTTTTCCGCTCTTCTCCCTCCTGCAGGAAACAGCATCAGATGACGCGGGCAGCTTGCACCGCTCCCCTCCCGGAGGCTCCAGGCGGGAAGTTCCCCGGTAGGCGGGCCAGGAGAGGCAGAGGAGGGAAAGGGCTGCACCAGATTCTCCATCACAGCAGGCTTTGAGATCTAGAAAAAAGGCCCCCCCACCCCCCCACTACGCCCGCGAGCTGCGTGCTCTGCTGCGTAGGGTGGAGGTTGGTCTCTGCTAAGGATGGGCCATCTCTGCCCTCTGCGTGCGCATCGGCGTCAGTAAAAGGGGTTATAGAACCACACCTGGGAGGAGGGTGAACCCGAGTCTGGTTTTGACTACGAAGTTGTGGGACTGGGCGATCCATCGACTTTGAGCCTCGCTCTTTAATTTCTTTCTTTTTTGAGACGGAGTTTGGCTCAGTCTCCCAGGCTGGAGTGCAGTGACGCAGTCTAGGCTCCCTGCAACCTCCGCTTCCCAGGTTCAAGCGATTCTCCTGCTTCAGCCTCCCGAGTAGCTGGGACTACAGGCGCCCCCCACAAGCCCTGCTAATTTTCGTATTTTTAGTAGAGACGGGGTTTCGCCATGTTGGCCAGGCTGGTCTCAAACCCCTGACATCGTGATCCGTCCGCCTTGGCCTCCCAAAGTGCTGGGATTACAGGCGTGAGCCACCGCACCCAGCCATTCTTTTCATATATGATATGAGGACCAGAAGCTCTGCCTCGCAGAGCTAGTGGGATGGAGTGGGGAAGACTGGAGGACAGACGGAACTGGCTGCACCTCAAGCTCTTGGAGTGGGTTGTCTAAGGCTCTCGTCTTCTTCTCACCTGGGAAACAATCCGCTTCTTCAAGTCCCTTCCCCATTGGCGAAAACCAGAGACTTGTTCAGAACTTTGCCCAGGATTGGATTCAGAATAGCTGAGTCGCTCTCACAACCGCTAGATAGGGCTGCCCCTATTGCTTTGAGCCTGTCACTTTAAGAAAAACGACGCTATCCTATTTCGACTATTCCTGCCTGTTCCGGAAAGTTGTTCTCTACTCCCTAGGTCTGAGCTGTGACTCGGAAGTAGACGCTGCCGGGAGAGAGCAAGCTCATGACGTAGTATGAGGTCCAGCGTTAAAAGGGGCGGACCGAGAGGGGCGTGCTTCAGTAGCGCACAACTCTCGCCGCAAGTAGGGGAGTCCACGCCTCCACCTTTTCCCCGCCTCCTACAACTCATTGGGAGAGCTGTGCGCCAATTACTTTGCCATTACCCAATGGCTACTCAACTGCCCCTTTGGTTCCGCCCAGTCGTCGCCCCTAGGCTGGCAGCTCCTAAGTCTGCGCATGCGCCAAAACACACGCACTTGCTCTAGTACCAAACTCTGCGCAGGCCCAAAGGGCATCCCTCGCCTCACACAGCGCCGCCACCTATCTGCGCCTGCGCATTCATGCCGTCAAGTTTTCCTTTTCCGGGTCCCAATTGGAACCGTTGGGCGCATGCGCTGCTGCAGGCTGGCTGCTCGCGGATCCTTCTTCCGGCCTCCTCCTTGGGCCGGCACCGGCAGAAGCCGGGCGAGCGCGGAGCCCCAAGCGAGTGACCTGCGACCCCGGAAGTGGACCCCAGATCCCGGGGTTCTCCCCGGCCGGGAGCCTAGGGAGCCGTTGCCTGCACCCTGAGAGCACCCACCCCACGCCCACCTCTGGATGCTGCCGACGGGTGCCCGGCCCGTGCCCCGCGCCTGCCTGCCAACTCGGCCCCGCGGAGCAGTTCTGGGCCAGGGGTGGGGACCCGGACCCCGCCCCTAATGCGGCCCCACCCCCGCGCCCGGACCTTCCACTGCTGACTGTCCCGACCGGCCCCGCCCCCTGCCCGCACACTCGCGCGGCCGAGCCCCCCTCCCCCGCTGGGGGAGGCCATGGCGTGAGCGTGAGGCCGGGCCCCGGGGCCCTCGGGCGCCAGGCGGGGCATGGGCCGGGGGCCGCCCCCATGAGGGTCCCGGGAGGGGGGCGCGGGCAGAAGCGGCGGGGCCATGGGGTCGCAAGTGTTGCAGATCCTGCGCCAGGGGGTGTGGGCCTCGCTCACCGGCGGTTGGTTCTTCGACCCGCACCAGAGCACCTTCTCCAACTGCTTCCACCTCTATGTCTGGATCTTCTTGCTCATCTTTCCCTTCTTGCTGTACATGGTGAGACGCCACTGCCACCTGTAACTCCAGCCGGGAGAGGGAGGGCAGCCTGGCAGGGATTCGGGCCGTGCCCTGGGATCTGGGATGTGGGGAGAAAGGAATCACTGCAGAGTTTGGGTCTGTGTGGAAGAGACCAAAGTCTTCTTTTCTTGGATCCAGTGACCTTGAGCCCCACATTTAACGTTATCCAGCTAAACAGAAGACAGCCCCTTGCCGAAATCTGTGTACTGGTTGTGTGGAGGGGTGATGAAGTCTTCTTGTGAGTCTGTGAATGCCAGCCGTGACTGGTGGTAGATCCTGTGGGGGCAAGGCTTTGTGAAAAGGGATCTGGCTTTTATCTTCAGGTCCTGCCTCCCAGCTTGATGGTGGCAGGCGTGTACTGCCTCGTGGTGGCTGTCATCTTTGCTACTATCAAGACCGTCAACTATCGGTTGCATGCCATGTTTGACCAGGGCGAGATCGTGGAGAAGCGAAGCACTACCATGGGGGAGCTGGAGGAAGAGCCTGCCCAGGGCGACAGCAATCCGCCCAGGTGGATGAGATAGGAGCTGTGCTGGGGATTGAGGGTTTTTGTTGCTTGGGCCTGAGCGTTGCAGGGTGGAGTAGGTGCTTAGAGAACATTGGCTCTCTGAGTGAATGTGAGCACTTGTCCTGTATTAGCCCTGGAATTGTAAAGTCACTTCTGAAGAGGAAGCAGTGACAAAGATGGGAAAAAGTAACATGTGCAGAGAGGAGGTTAGCCCAAAGCTGCTGCTCTTTTTCACCGCCAGGGACCCCGGAGTGGAGATGACGGTGTTTCGGAAAGTCAGTTCCACACCCCCAGTGCGCTGCAGTTCCCAGCATTCTGTGTTTGGTTTCAACCAGGTCTCGGTGAGTGGGCCTGGACCTTAGCTTGTCCTGCTGCTCCTCTGTGAGCCAGTCCCTGCTGTGGGTACGTCCTGAGCCTACTTCTTGCCTTGTTTGCTCCTTCACGCCTCTCTCTATCTACTCAGGAGCTGCTTCCCCGAATGGAGGACTCTGGGCCCCTAAGAGGTAGGTGGCTGGTCTTCAGGGTTGGGGCACAGTGCTGTGGAATGGGGGCTGGAGCTTGTATGCTGTGCCGGGGGTCCTGCTGACACCTCTGGGGCCATGGTTGCAGACATCAAGGAGCTGGTGCGGGAGCAGGGCAGCAACAATGTGATCGTGACCTCCGCCGACCGAGAGATGCTAAAGCTCAGCTCGCAGGAGAAACTGAGTGCGTGGGCCTGATGGGGTCCGGGCTTGTGGGGTAGAACAGCTGTTTCATCGTTGAGTCCCCTAGATTCTGGTTCCATCCTGGGTTTCCTCTGTACTTCTCTATGGGACCTCCCCAGCGTGCTGCTTTGGCCTGGCTCTCAGGGAAAGTACAGGGCATAAGATCCCCATTAACCACCAGTCTCTTTTGCAGAAAGTTCTTTTCTCATTTTCTGTCTCCCTTTCTTCTGGCAGTTGGAGACCTTCCCCAGACGCCTCCTGGGGCTGTCGCGGACCCCTCTCTTCCCAGTACAGACTCTTCAGAGCCTTCCCCCCTGGCTGGAGATGGAGTGCCCTGGAGTGGGAGCGGCATGGCTGATACTCCCATGAGCCCCCTGCTGAAGGGGAGCCTCAGCCAGGAGCTGAGCAAGAGCTTCCTGACCCTGACCCGGCCTGACCGGGCCCTGGTGAGGACCAGCAGTCGACGGGAGCAACGCAGGGGGGCAGGCGGCTACCAGCCCCTTGACCGGCGGGGCTCAGGGGAACCCACGCCCCAGAAAGCCGGCTCCTCAGACTCCTGCTTCAGTGGCACTGACAGGGAGACACTGAGCAGCTTTAAGAGTGAGAAGACCAACTCCACCCATCTGGACAGCCCCCCAGGGGGGCAAGCCCCTGAGGGCAGCGACACAGACCCACCCTCTGAGGCTGAGCTGCCTGCCTCACCAGATGCCGGGGTCCCTTCAGATGACACGCTGCGTTCCTTTGACACGGTCATTGGAGCAGGGACGCCACCGGGCCCAGCTGAGCCGCTCCTGGTTGTGCGGCCCAAGGACTTGGCCCTGCTGCGGCCTAGCAAACGGCAACCACCCCTTCAAAGACACTCTCCACCTGGCCATGCCCCTCGACGGCCCTTGCTTGAAGGTGGGGGCTTCTTTGAGGATGAAGATACGAGTGAGGGCAGTGAACTTAGCCCAGCCTCTAGTCTCCGATCACAGCGCCGCTACAGTACTGACAGCTCCTCTTCTACTTCCTGCTATTCCCCTGAGAGCTCCCGGGGTGCAGCAGGGGGGCCCCGGAAGCGGAGGGCCCCCCATGGGGCTGAGGAGGGGACTGCTGTGCCCCCCAAGCGGCCATATGGGACCCAGCGGACGCCTAGCACCGCCAGCGCTAAAACACATGCCCGTGTGTTGAGCATGGATGGGGCTGGGGGTGATGTCCTGAGGCCCCCCCTGGCTGGCTCCAAGGCCGAGTTGGAGGCCCAGGTTGGGGTAGAGCAGGCCGCTGGTGAGCCTGCTGTGCTGCCTGCTGAGGCCCGAAGGGGACCCGCTGCCAACCAGCCTGGCTGGCGAGGGGAGCTGCAGGAGGAAGGCGCCGTGGGGGGAGGTGAGTGCTGGTTCCAGAGGCAGGGGCTGGGGGAGGTGAACTATGGGCTTGGGTTTGGGCAAAGAGCTGGTAAGGGTGGACCTAGTCAGCGTCAGCTCAGCGATGAGTGACATTGTTTTCCAAACCTCTTAGACACATGGGGCTCCGCCGCCTGGCCCCACTTTCTGTAGTTAACACCTGAGTCTGTTCTCTGAGGACTTTGATCATCCATGCTCATTTTCCTACTACCAGGGGCATGGGGCAGAACAGATCAGTGTCATCCTTGTTTGCAAGTGAGGAAACTGAGGCATGTGGCTATGTGACCTGACTGGGCCCCAGAGCCAGGGCATGGTTGTACTAGGCCTTTAACTCCCTGCTGGAACATCCTCTGTAGCATTACTCCCCCAGCCCTGTCTGAGCGTCTGTCGCTTATGCTTCGGGCCTCTCTCTGGGCAGCGGCCGAGGAGACTGGCAGGAGGGACCGCTCAAGCAGTGTGAGGCGGACCCAGGCCATTCGGAGACGCCACAATGCGGGCAGCAACCCCACCCCTCCAGCCTCCATCATGGGCTCGCCGCCCAGGTGAGCACCCTGCTGGCTGGGCCAAGGGGCACTGGGGGCGGGGGGGGGGGCCTCAGGCTCTAACTGGAGCTGACCTGGGGCTGGCC